CTGCTCCTCGGGAGCGGACGCACCAGCGGCTGGCAAGTTGAGACCTGGCGTGCCGCGTGCAAGCGCCTGTGCGGACGCCATGGCGGAGGGGGCGGTGGCTGCGAGCTTGTCCAGGCCGAGCTGGACGGCTGCTTCGGAGAGGGCGGATGCCGGGGGCTGATAGATGCCCCAGGCTTCGAGCTCGAGCACCACGACGTGGTCCCAGTTGGTCTGGCGGTGGTTGTAGTCACTGACGAGGTCCCTCTCCTTGTGTCCGACCACGACGAGCCGATTCTTGCCCGGCCACAGAAGCGCACGATTCCAGCTTCCGGTCGAGAGGGCGGAGCCTGGCTCGATCCTGGACCAGACCATGGTGGGCAGATGCAGGGCCCAGATGGAGAAGCTCTGCGTTGCGTTGGCGAGGTACGTGCCCGAGATGAGTAGGTAGGGTCCCAAAAGCGCACCAGTCGGGAAGCGAAGACCAGGAGGTAGCGTGACGCCACCCATGTGGTTGGAACGATCCTCCATCGAGACAAAGGGTCCAGAGGAAGAGGAGGACGGCGCGGCAGCTTGGGATCGGGTGAGTGGACCGTCGACATCGAGAGCAGATTCCTGGGATGCGTTCGAGTGGCTTCGCGCCCGCTGCTGCTGCTGCTGCTGCTGCTGCTGCTTGTCTGCACCCGAATTGGACGCAGCGTCGTCGTCTTGGCGTTGCAGGGTGAGCACCTCGAGCTCTCTGCGCACGTCGGTAAAATTGTAGTTCGAATAGAGGTAGACGGGCAGCGGCTGGTTGGGCTCGGATGGGCAGCTCATGGGCAAGGGGTTCTGCTCGACCCTGTCGCCGTCGTCTGCTGCCGCGTGGCCGTTCAGCGCTGAGGATGCAGCGGTGCTTCCGTTGGCGTCTGCACCGATGAGCGGATCTTTGGCGCGAGGATAGCATTTGGCCTTTTCGCCATCCTTGTAGAGGCACTTTGCGCCCACGGCCAGCGAGCGGTAACTGCCGCACTGCTTTCGGAAGCGCTGAGCGCCGATCCACCTGTTTTGCGAGAGGCTGAAGAGGTTGATGGACTCGACGTACTGGTTGGCGAGGTTCTGACCGCCGATGATGGACAGCGTGTCGCCGGAGAGGGATGAGAGATGCGCATAGCGAGGAGCTGGTTGGGTTGGCTCTGGCTGGGAGCTGGAGGAAGCGAGGTTGTGGGATGCGACGTCGAAGCTGTAGTCCCACTGCTGCGTGGTGAGATCAAAGGCGAGGAGTTCGTCGAGGACGCAGAGCTCTTCGGCGGGTGCGCCCGTGGATGGATCGTGCGCTGCTTGGGAATAGCCCATTCCGCCAAAGAAGAGGATCTTGTCGCGCCAGAGGTCGGCGGAGTGGAAGTAGCGCGGCTGGGGCTGTTCGGACGAGGAAGCTGCGGTGGCGTCGAGTTTGGGCTTGGTGGAAGGAGACAGCTTGGACCACTTCATCTGGTCGAGGTCGAGGATGTAGAGCGTGTTGACCATGCGACGGCTGCTGACGAGTCGACCACCAAAGAGGTAGACCTTTGCGCTGCCTTTTGCGAGACCATGGCGAGAGGGTTCGACGAGTGTGGCAGAGGCACCGACGAGCGGTGGGGGCACGTCGCCCGAGCAGAGATGGAGGCGCGAGGACAGATTTGCGATGGAGGGATGCATGGTCGATGATGCTCCTGGGCGTGGATCCTTGTACTAGAAGATGGTCGTGCAGGATCAGAATATGGACAAGACGTGCACTCGCGGCGAAGCACATGCGCGTCGATGAATCGATTGGGAGCAGCTGTGGAGCTCAGCGGCGCATTGCAGGTCGAGATGGGATGCGACCGTGCCAACGAAAGGGTGTGCGACGTGAAGGTGGACGTGAAGGTGGACGTGAAGGTGGACGTGAAGGTAGGTCGTTTCAGAGATGGTGGTGGTTGATGGACAAGGTCAAAAGCGGGGCCTGCGAGCGATGGCCGACTCCTGCCAACCAGACCAAGCGAGCGAGACTGCAGACAGAACAAAGGCGAGAGAACGAGAGCGAGAAAGGAAGGATTCCACGGCGTGACGAACAACGGATGCTCAATGAGCTTAGACTCTCGTCCGCGCTCTTTTCTCACAGCCGCCGCTCCAAACGTCACGCGATAAAGTGGCCTTTTCTT